GATTATATGCTTTTTTCTTTATTTAAAACTTTGAACATGTTCATGAACTTTGAACCTAGGTTCATTAGGAACACTATACTTCATGCTGTTGAATTACTCTTAACAACTGATTTCTTGTTTACCTTCAACGATCTTTCTTATATAGGGTATAATTTTAGAGTAAATAAAATTTACTTTGGGCCTTTAAATTTCTCTTGTGTTGAACACTAAAATGATGAAGAAATTTAGCTATTTGTAAACAGGTTTGCCGTTGATGATACTTGTTTAGTTCCATTTTAACTTTAATAAATTCTCAATTATATATATATAAAAAAACAAAAAAAAATAAGAAAACAATTATAAAAAAAAACTATATAGTTGCAGAGACTGACTTGCAAAGTTTTTTGTCTTTGAAGATGAACAACATTCAGAAAGTTAAGTATAAGTGGTGGGGTTTGCCACTTTTTACCAAATACTATTACAAAGGTATGTTTGGAAAAGATTATTAAATCTCTTCAAATATATTAGTGTAGGTGTTTTCAACACAGGTAACCACCAGGAATAACTTAGTATCAAAGCAGGGTTAAAGAAGTTATTCAAGTTTTTTAGCTTTACACGATTTTCATCAGATTGATCATCTGGTGTTTCATTTTTACTCAGCACAGATTCAATATCAGGAGTTCTAGCTCTTACAATTGTCGTTGTTTTAGATAAGGCGTTCTACATGTAGGCTATTTCCTTTTCAACATGGAGTGTAGACCAATAATACTTGGATACCTCTTGAATTAGGTAAGCTTTGATGGTGATCCACATTTTGGATTATACTTATACTTGCACAATCATCAGATAGAGAGTACAATTTGTCACTACACCAACATTGTGCATTTGGTCTTTTCTAACTGTCGAGCTAGTTCTTGTTTCTTGGCTTTTGTTTTATCCTTAACTGATATGCTCTATATAATACCAAGTACTCAATTGGCCATCATGTCTAATCTTCTTAGAAGTGAACTTGATATTTTTGTATGGATTAATTACATATATAAGAGACTTAAGTCTCTCTAATTATGTGATATACTGAATTACTCTTACCATTGTTAGTATTTACTCTAATATAATTTACTGATACTTCTCTCTCTTTACTTTTTTTACTCAGACATGAAAGTGTATTGGTATTATTATGTTTATACATACTCTGGTGGATAATTATAAAGTTATAAGATTCTAACTTCATAATTTATCTGGCATGTTTGCTTTTTAACTTAGAAGTTCTGAGCCATTTAATGCAGAATAGTTAGTAATTAAAAAAAAAGGCTTTAACCCTAAATATTAATGAAAGTACTCAATAGCTCATATGACTATGAGGCACTCTAACTCAGGTATTGAGTAATTTTGCTTTGTTTTATTTATACTATAGCTAGTATAGGCTACAACATACTTCTTGTAATTATTGTCTAACTGAAACAATACAGCCCTCAGCACTGTGATTGAAGTGTTAGTATGTATATAAAAGGGATAACTAAAATTGGGGTACCTTAGAATTGGGGCTAAGATAAGGTAATTTTTTAAAGTATTAAAGACCTTGTTTTGCTCTTTGGCCCAGTAAAAATTTACTTCCTTTGACAATAATTGATTTAAGGGTTTAGCAACCTTGAAACACCCTTGTATAAATCACTTATAGTAGAAGGTGAGACCCAAGAGCAATAGAGATAACTAGATCTTGTAAGATTATCCCAATATATTGCCATGGTTTTATATTGATTGTTGGTGTTTAAATAGTTTGTTTCTGTGTCTGGGGCCTTTTTATATTTTAATTCTTTGGCTAAATTGTGATATTGGGTTGGATTCTGTAGCATTTGACTATAGGTTATACATGCCTGGTATATTTAATAAGTCTTCAGATATGTTATATGACTTAAGCTTATCTACTACAGAAAGTAATCGTAATCACTATTTAACTTTTTTTTGCTGTTCTTTTCGAAGTTACATTGTTATCTAAATTCATTTGATCTTCAAACTCTTCTTCTACAACTTGGTTTACATGTTTCTTATCATATAACTGATATTCTTTGCATGATTCTAACTGTTTTTGTGGTTGCTTTCTTTTAGCTTTTTATAGTTAGTACTGTAAGGTTGATACTTAGTAGCAAATATTTCTTTATAATCACTATTATATTCAGATTCTATAAAATTAATATGCCTACTTTGTTTATTATTACAGGTAGGCTATTTCAAAATCTGATAGGGATGCTCAGAACGTGCTTTTTCTGACAAACACCCATATGCATAATAACCAGACTCTCTGCATCTATAGTATTTGCCAGAAGGACCCATTTATAGAGCTGTTCATGCCTCACTTTTTCTGGTATGACTACTCTATTAGGTTGAGCTATTAATGCTAATACTATATTGGCATAATTGAGACTTAACTGTTGCATCTGTTGTATCAAATTCTCAATTTTTCTCTCATAATTTTTTGACTAAACAGGTAGATTGGGCCTATTATTTATAGCAAAATTGGTACTTTGCTTATATCTATAAGCTTTCTTTAGAATTTCATTTAAATTTTGTGGATTATGCATCAATATTATAGAAAGTATTTCAGATCTCAGACCCTTCTTGAAATAATACTGCTGTTGTGCATCTGCCATATTTTTGTCAATTCTTTTGACTACTCTTTTGAATGTGCTATAATAAGTTTTGATAGATTTGCTGGATAACTGCTTAAGTGAATCAAGATCCTTTAACCACTTATTCTGCCAATGTTGAATACAAAACTAATTAATAAATGCAGAGGTGGTGGCAGTCAATCTTGAGCAGAGTTATTAGTAGCCACATTAGCTATGAAATAGATTTTCTGCCAATTATCAGCATTACTATATAAAAATGCAGATAAAAGTTCTCTCTTTTGATAGATATTCTATCAGTTGGCCGTAGTGGCTTTTCTAAAACTTTTTAACCAGGTTCTAGGATTCTGTATACCATTTCTATAGAATAGCTCAATTTTTAACAGGATAGAATCTCTTTGATTAGCTTAAAAGTAATCTAAAACATCTTATGCATTGGTGGCTATGTTTGGTTAACTAGTGGAGGTGATTGTTTACAGAATAACTTTTCTAATTCTAAGTCTGAATCAGACTCTTCTACTTCAGAAGTGGTTTTACTCTGATTATATAGAACAACAAAAGGGTCTAAACAAAATTTATTTGTTCACTAATAGGCTTGATGAAGTTGGTCAACTAAAGTATTGAATCTGGGATCTTTTGTATATCTATACATGTACAATAAAGCCTGAAAGTGTTCTTTAAGTGAGTTCATAGATTGTTGTAATAATCAGAAGATTTGAACTATGCAATCGATATGAGAAATTACAGAATACACAACTATAAACCAAGCCCAAAAGTTGATAAATGCTAAGGTAATAGTTTTAGTAATTGGGTAGCACAATCGGCAAGAGTAGTCTGCTGCATTTTTGTAAATTTGTTAATGAATCTGCACTGTTGTACTAGGATAACATGTATACTGGTAGTTGTGTTGATTATTCCGATACAAGAACTAGAAATAACTGATCATACACAAGTTAGTGGCAGCTATTTATTAATTTAATTTCTATTCTAGTAACCAGTGAGTTTATCTCACAGTCACTACCAAAAATGTCATACCTGGAGTTGATCTCTCTATACAACTTGGAGACTAAAAGATCGATAGTATGAAGACTACGATCTAGTGATTTGATGAATTGAAGAAGTGTCATTAAATAACTTAACAAAGAGGTTTTACTGAAGCTTTATCAAAAGAGACAACAATACAATTATATATGACAATATGAAAGATTGTTGAATACAATACAATAGATAATAAAATCACATGTTTATGTAATTGCGATTATTAAAATTCTTAACGATCTATCTTAAATAGGAGTTTTTGTGTATGAAGACACAATGTTTTATTAAAAATAACTATATAAGTTAATTAAGTACAATAAGAATTTGAATCTATTCACTAAGAGTGATATATAGATGAAGATATATATCAAGGTTCTTTTGGAGAATCAAAGTCTCTAATAACAAGGTGAAATTAGAGGCCTTATATACATGATTTTGAAGCTACAATCTACAAGGTCAAGTACTAATTTATTCTATTCTATAATACTATCTCTCATTCTTAACAATTAATTTATACTACTCATATAATTCACAATGGTCACTATTGCCTTCACACACTTAAATGTGAAGGTAAGTTTTCAGAAATCAATCACAGGATCATCAATCTTATACCTTTATATGCTCTTGGGGTGGTATGGGCAATCTAAAATAACAATCTTGTACTTATTCCTTTCAAAGTACCTGGATTATGGTACTACAAATCAGTAAACTTTGTGGATAACAACATTTATTTAAACTAAATTGGGTAAGTTCACTAGAGTCTATTTATAAAAATTTTGTATAAATATTAATAGCATTAAATATTGGTAATAATATATACTATAATACAATACAATCTAGATAATCAATATTGGACTGTAATTAAAGTTCAATTTAGATATAATTTAACTAAATATCTAAATTTACATATTAGATATATATAGTCAGACATCTCTATGATTACACACTTAAAATATAAAAATATGTGATTGTAGGGAAATTTGACAGTTATAGAGATCAAATTTGTTTTATTTAATAAGAGAACTACTATTTGCACCATGGTTTATATAAATCCTTTTGATTTTATCACATAATTATTTACAAAATTTTTAAAATTTGATTAAAGATATCTTAGCAACTAATTGAACAAATTCAATCAAAAGTTTTTTATTGAAATTCTATGGATTTGTAGAATCTAAATAAAAAAATTTTCATCAAATTTGTTTGATTAGTTTCCAAGTTAACTTCAATCAAAGTTTGAGTAAAATTTTTTTTTTTTTTTTTTTTTTTTTTAATATTAAGGTGACCACTTAGCCCCCGGCACTTAGCTTTATTCAGATAAATATGATTATTACATCAATTTTCACAGAATACAACTAGCCACACATGTACTTTTGGTACCTAATTTAAGTAATCCACCTGGGTTCTACACTAGCAGCCATACCTGCAACCTAACTAGGAGATTACCTATTTAAGCTCTCTGATTATTAACTAACGAGAGTATGACTAGCCAT